AAAAACAGGTGTAACCGCAAAGGAGAAAATATTATGCAATTTAAGAATGATAATGAAAGCTTAAATTTAAGAGTCAGTGAACCAACCTGGTCTTCATTAGCATCACCAGAAATATGTTTTGCAGGTATTTCACCAAAATGACTGGCATTTTCGCAATTGAAAAGACCTATGAAATCCAACGGCTTGCTGAGAAATCGTAGTCCAACAATATCCGAACGAACATTTCCCTGACTGACAAAAAAGAATGCATCTCCTATCCAAGATGTCGATATTAAGCAAGGTTACGTACTGCATATCAGGTTTCACCGGCCAATCCTTGGGACTAGGCTGAGCCGCAAGATTTGTCGATGAAATGTCCAAACATGTGAGCTCCTTGAGGTTGGTGACTATTTTGTGCAATGCTGTCACCGGTCTTGGGTAAAGTCCCGTATCTCTTGAGGATTGCGATAGGTCGAGGAATCTATATAAGCATCACCTTTTTTGCAGGCTGCCGCTGTTTTTTTTTCGATTTCGAGAGCAAAACCGTTCAATCACCCGGTTTCATGGAAGAAGGAAAAACAGCTCATTATAAGAATGACAACTTATAAGCTTGAACACGTGTAATTAAATCACACAGAATTACTGCTTTCAGCTTACCTCAATTCTGTCATGGTTATAATACTATCAATTGTTCGGTACAAGTCAGGTACATCAAATAATATCAGTGTCGTTAGATGCAGTGGATGAATGCATCTAAGATCTTCCATCTAAAAAGGATCAGGAAGCGTCTTGATTAACAGCAAGGAATATCACATGCACTCACTCGATTCCAATATGAGAGATCAAGCGTTCTCAAATCTTTCAAAGGTTCGAAAACGCGACGAAGAAGATCGTTTGGAGAATTTTCTTCGTCTTCTGGGAACTTCTTCACCTGAAAAAGAACTAGGATCAACGTTTGAGAAAGTGGAAAAGGCTGGAGTGCACAACTCGCAAAGATTGTCGAAATGATTTCGAGTGTAGATACGTACCTTAGGTAGAGCCAAAGTTGTGACTCCTGGACATCTTGACGTAAACACCGGGGGCTCACGCTCTTCTTCCTCTTCCCAGGGTTTCTCCTCTATCGGCTCAGTCGACATCCCGATGGATGCATTGAAAGAAGTCGAACAACTGAAGACAGATATTCAGCCATGAAAGCAGAAGCTCGAGCAGCGTTAAGCACCTAACTTGTACATCACTAACCCCTCAAAAACAGGCTGCTGCTGACTTGAATGTGTTGGAAGCGATGGCCCTCCTCTATTTTCTCGCAAACCCAACACTCCTTCTCCTTCTAGGTCCTCTTCACCCAAAACTGGTATGTTACGAGTGTCCATGCTTGCAACACCAACCTTCCTAAAACATGAAACTCTTTATCCAGCTGAAGTAAGGGGTGGAGAGCATACATCAGAGGAAAGACGAAAGAGGCGTGTAAAGATGACCTGCGTGGTAGAGGGCGACTGAGTAGTTCCATAGATGTCATTTTGAGAGATCTCAAACTTGGAAATGCCACATTCCGTTGGTCCAAAAGTACATTTGTCTCATCAGATATACCCTGAATAGGATGGCTATTCTATCGACTATAGAGTATGACCGTCACAATCTCATGAGTTATCCTTGCTAAGAAGCACGGCAAAAAAATCAGCAAACCTTGACATTAGTAAGATCCAACTGCGTTATACCACTCTGATGAGCTTCTAGTAGGTCAGCTAGTAGAGAATCCGTCAAATCTGCTCCAGTCAAATCAAGATGCGACAACGGCAACCGTGATGAGTCGCACCATGCTCGCAAAGCCTCTGCCGCAACAGGTTCTTTCTAGAAATTTCGAAAAAATGCCCGCGTTCTCTTTCTGATTTATTGCATTCCATTGCATACTGGGACTGTAGTCCCAAAAGGAAACCCGTAGATGAAATTGCAATCATATGCGAATATCCTTAGCATGGAATGAAGTAACATGAAGAATGCTTTCAACAAAGAAAAACTGCATGTACAACTCACCGATCGTTGCCATTCCTCTTTTTTCTTGTTGAATAACGAATGGCTGACAGGCAAAGGCAGATGCATTTTCAGCACAACATCCTGCAAACGTAGGTATCGCTACCAATACTACTTAACTGGCGACTTCCATCACTGCATAAATATAACCCCTCAAAAGAACAACCTGCAGCTGAGCCTTTTGGCAAAGGACGCCTGCCGACAAGTCCCGTAACGACGGCGCCGACAAAGCGACGTCTTCCCCCGCTGTCATGCGCCTGTAGAAGTATTTGTGTATGACAATATGACAGTGAAAAAGACTCAAATGCATGATTACAACAACGAAGCTCCCACGATGATATGACTGATCATTTTGATTGTTTTTCGTGATCAAAAAAAAAAACATTAAGGCGCCATTCCGTCAGATTCCATTCATACAATCATGCATTAAAGAGTGAATTGAGCACAATGAAGTGGATGTCGAGATTAGATAAGTAGCATGGATAATCAAGAAACGGATAAAAGGACTACTAGAGCTATATGCTAGCTAGTTAGAGATACATATACCTTCACAATCATCGCTATGCTTTTTCAAAAACGTTCCAAAAAAGTAAGGCTGCGAAAAAGAATGTAAAAAAATTGATATTCGGTGACTTCCTCTTCTTCTTGTATTGTTTTTATGCACATGAATTCGAAAATGAAACAGATATTAACCTAACTATGACAGTTTCCTTTACATAGAAAATTAGCCATGCAAAACTTGTTAACTTACAAGTCTGGTGACTCTGAGTCCATAGTAGCAATTCTATAGGACCAACACGTAAAGTAATTGCGGTGCAGAAGCGGAATACGACTCAGTTAGTTCAATTAATATTGCAGCTAAACAACGTGAAGAAGCAAATGTGACAGCGACGAGAAACTGCAGCCACATATGCTATTAATAGCAGAACAGGACCAACTGCTTCGTGTCCTAAGACGCGACCCTCCTAGTTCAATCTAAGATGAATTTTAGTACACAGTAAAGTATGGCATGCTGGAGAGGATATACCTGAAGTGATAGAGCTGTAACTGAGCTAGGGTTGTTCAAAGCTATAACATCGTAAAACTGAGGAGAATCTCCTTTGTAGCTATTAATTTCAAGTACTGAGTAAACAAAGCGTTCCTCACATCGCATCAAAAAATTATAACTAAAGCTCCAGATGGCTATGCCTTACAGAACAGCTGCTCAATGCAATCCCGTGTCTTCTGTGTAAGCAACACAGCTACTGTGCGAAAAGGCTATAAAAAAA